CTGAGTGGTGTGACGGTGAAATTGTGTTAGCTTGTTTTAATCACAGTTTATTCAGTAGTTAATCATAATGACAAGTTTTGCCTTTTTACAGTTCAGAATAGGAAAATTTCTTCCTTTTTCATCTTGTTTGTTCAGGGTCTCGATTCATTCTTCAGGGAGAATGGAGAAATTTGTTTTGTTAAGAGGTCAGAATGGGGGGAATTGAAGCATCTCCACTTAGTTGTTATGGGATGTAATTGTGTACAAGTTGCATATGATCAGCAGCTGTGATTCTGTCAGATAATACCTAGCAGTTCCTGTACGTTTGGGAAGCAAGCAAGCAAGCAAGCAAGTAGAAGATTTTTCCTAACAGTGGACACCAATACTTTTCCTTTTTCATAGTGTGAAACATCTGTTGTGCAGTTACCATCCTTTGTATCTGGACGTTTGTCAACGTATACTATGCTACTGTATGAAAATTGTCAACCAAGTAGTACCTGCAATTATTCTATGAAATAAGTGGTGGAGTTGGGTTGGGTTTTGTCAGGATTGTGGGTGTTCCTGTTTTTTTTTTTTTTTTTTCTTTTTATTGCAGTTGTTTGTTTTCCATTTTGTGCAGTATTGTATGGATTTCTTTATTTCTCTTGTAATGAGTTGTCCTAATTGTTTATATTGTGTGCAGTAAGGGACAAAAGAGAAATGATTTAAAAATGAAGAGAACTGTAAAACCACACAAGTATGGTGGCAGCCCTGGGGTTACTTTGCAGTACTGAAACTTAATTTTTTTTAATTCACTGGATTTCAAGTTGAATTTTATTTTTGTATACAAATTATGTGTGAGTGAGTTATAAAATGTGCACCTGACCACTTGTTAGAGCACTTATACCTAATAGTAATATTTTTTGAAATAACTTCAGTTCCAATATATTTGCAAGAATATATTAAAAATATCTGTATTTGCAAAAATTAAAAAAACAAAAAACTTTGCTCACAGTCTGCTTATGGACTGACTAAATAAAAAATGTGTTATCACTCTTTAAGTGCCAAAAAGCAATTAATATCAGTTGAGGAAAAAAATGAACATCAAAAGTCTTTAACCATTTCAGTGTCCATAAAGGCAGGACCTTATATCTTAAGAGATGTTTGAAACTCAGTACTGTGTGAGGGTACTGTACTCAAAAAAGTTCTGTGGGAATAGTATTTAGTTTTAGCCTGTTTCCAGGTGAAATGTGGAAGGCTCTCTGAAGTCACAAATAGGGTTGTTTTTTGTTTGTTTGTTTCTTCTTGTTTCAAAATCCATATGAAATTATTAATGCTCTAGCATCAGAAATACTAAAGATACTTCAGGAAATGCTCGTCTACTTTTAGAACTGTATTGTTCCTTCAAATTATGTCGGCAGCGACTTGTGTAATGCTTTGTTTCCAATAAGGTTATGAAGATTTAATGACAACATAATTTTCTGTGCAAGTGGAACTTACCTAGTTATCTCTTTTATTGATGATACACAGAAACAGATTGGAGTTGAGCTCATTTTTATTAAGTGTTTGGTTCTGCGTGGCTGATAGGAATAAAAATTAAAGTCTGTCATTCAGTCAAGGGCAAGTGGTTGTGAATATGCAAAAGAAAGAAAACGTTTCATGTCATTTTTTGACCAAAATTTGATTTTGAACTGTTTCTTTAACACTGAGTACAGGTTTGTAAATTAATACAAAATGTGGTTAAATGAATTTGGAAAAAGTTCAAGATGATTTAAATGAATATATTTTTTAAAATATTAGAAAAGTTCTCTGGTATCTTTTAAGGATTTTTTTTTTCTTTTTCCTTCCTGCCTGCCTTCTTCTAACTTTCCAGTACACACGTGTAGCATTTCCTTTTGAGTTTAGGTTGGGAGAGCAAGATGTACAAACTCAAAGGCTGATCAAAGGCTGACCAGCAAGGCATGGGTCTGCAGATCATATGTAGATGCAAGGACAATCCTGGGAAATCATCAGTAAGATTTCACATACCTGGAATCAGAATAAAATCAAATTATGAACATTGGTACTAATTTTGGGGAGCAAGGAGGAATGTTTGATTTCCTACCACATTTGATCATCCACATTACAGATGTGGTTCAAATTGCTTCAACTTGACAGGTGTGAAACATAAGAGTTGCATTCATACAGGCCTCATTTCTTCACTGTGGTAGTTAAACACCATGAAAATAAGGAACGCCTAAGTTTGGGATCAAGATTAAGCCTCCTCAAGAGATTATATTTTTTTCAATAGTAAATATTGTTATACCAAGAGAAGGACCTCAAATGAGAGGTGGAATGCTTATTAAAAGACAGGCATGGTGGAATGTGTGTATCATTCACTGTCACATTTACTAAAAGCCTTCAGAGAACTGAACCACAATATATGTGATGAACGTATTTAGACAGTCCTTTCATGAAAATAATTTCTACTGTAGCTTTGTAGGGGTCCCTGGCAGATGACGTGTGAATCTAAAGACACTTGGTCGATATTCCCTAAGAAACCTCATCTTGTAATCCACTCAATGTTCTTGGGTTTCATTGTACTGTTGAAATTCCCTTTTTTGGTTCAGTTTGTTTCCCTACCGATTCTCTTCACATGCTATTTACACAGGTTTTTTTTTTTTTCCACATATATTTGCCCTTCATTTTTATGAGCAGTACAAAGGTCTTGTTGAAATTGCTCTACAAGTGCTTTTCAATGTGTGCTGGCTGAAATAATTGTATACATCAGCTGTGCTTTCAAGTGCTTCAGTGTTAGAAACCAATTATTCCTATCACCGGGTAGCCAGCTGATGGTGGAGGGGTCATTTGTCATGGGAAGATCTGATCATGTTTCAGTGCTTTCTTTGTAAGGTGTTTGAGTCTTACTTTACTGTAGAATTTTTCAAACCCTGCAATTGTACTCTGAAGAGAACATCAGAAAGATACAGACTCAGCCAGAGTTCACTGAAAACATTTAAAAAAACAACTTATTTACAGTTTTTCCTTTTGGGGAGGGGAAGGAAATGACATTTTTCATGGGGAGCCACAGACAGATTGGGCAACTTAAATCTCAGTAGCTGACTCAAATAGTAATCTGCTGCTTTCAGCCTGCTTTATTAGTAAGAAAGAAACACCCCTAAAGAATTCTGCCTCATTCAATCTTAAATCAGTATTACAAGAAATGTGTGTGTTGTCTTTCATAAATACAGCTGTTTTGCACCTTTTTATATGTGATAACTTCAATATAAAGCATACTAAGCATTGGTGATAGGTGGATGGTTAGAGTAGATGGTCTTAGAGGTCTTTTTGAACCATGCTGGTTGTATCATTCTCTGAAAAGCTCCTCCCTTTTCTTGTTTTTCTTCGCTGTTCTATTCCATTTACAAGGTTGCTGGAGAGCAACAGAAGTCACGGAGTCTCTTTGGAAATGAGATGGTTGCCATGACAAAGCTCCCGGCTGCTTCTTGTCCCAGATGAGAAAGTCATTTTTAGACTCACATGTTTGAAGGTTAGGCTACAGTGTTTTAAACTGAACAGTATAGTTAACTGATTTGAATCTGCTAAAAATTGTCTGTTGAATAGAACATTTGTTCTGTTAATTCAACTGGTTTTATTGTTGTTTTTATTTGTTTTTGATCAGATAGCTGAGGTAAAGCTGTTGTACTGAGATCAAGATTTGCACGTTACTGAATTCAGCTTGTCCATAGCATCCCTCTCAAATGTATGTCTAACCTTAAAAATTCCAGAGTAAAGGGATTTTGTTTTGTATGTTAAGTTTGAATGTTCAACTACAATATACTTAATATTTGTACTTAATGTATTATACGTTTTACTTAATTCTCATGTTTTCCAGAGTGACCATTACTCTATCAAATAGGAAAAAAAAATATTTTTTCTTTCTGGATAAATCTACGCTGGATACTTTTCACTGCCTTATCAACTTTCTGGGGGCGGGGTTTATTTTATTTATCCATTTATTTATTTATTTATTTATTTGAGTTTTAAAATGTATCTCACTGTCCTTTGATTCTCTTGTTTTCCTCCCTTTTTACAAAACAGGTTCCTAGTATGCTCCACTGGAGTCATCTGGGGCTTGCAAGCATTTCTGTGGTTTATGTTCAGTCAGGGATAGATGTCTTCATTTCTCCAAATAACGGTTCATCTCACAAATAATGAATACATTAAAAAAATTTAGAAGCTGTATTGAAAATAGTGTTAATATGTCATGAATTTCAGCAGTTTAAAATAACTGGTTTCTGCTATGTTAGGCAATCTCATGTTTTGCATGCCGTTGCCAGCTCAGAGGAGCAAGTAAAAATTGTTAAAAACATTTTTTTAACTGTTCCTACTTGAAGATACAAAAGTGCATTTAGTCAAGATTGCAGAGCAATCCAGTTCAAGTTGTTCAAAAGCACAGAAGTGTCTCTAAAGACTGGGGTCATCCTGTCTCCTTCCACCTGTCCTGCTGAGCAGTCTTCTGTATATCAAAATTTTTGTTTGAAGTAACTATTCAGTGAGATCTTTTTTATATTTTATATGTGGTTTGCATTGCTAGAACTTTCTCCCTTGAGTTCCTTGTTCTGCTGAACAGATAGCTGTGTGAAAGTTAGCATTTGCACATGTTTCTGTCAACAGTACTGATCCACAAATCCCGTTTGAAGCCTTTTGAAGTACCTGGATACACAGGTTTCTAGCTTGTGCCACACTCTGTGCCATAATATTTACTGGCACCTGCTGATATTTGTACCCAAGCTCCTAAGTTAAATTAAATTAACTTTTGAAGTAATGCTGCTTTGCCCTTGCTGGAACTGATAACTTCACTGTATTGGTCAGATAGGAATGCTTTTCACATCCCTTACAAAAACAGGCCGATTAGCTGTCCTATGGTATCCAGGTTGTCTTTGCAACTAATGTCAGAGCCTGATGAAGTAAGTTGTTCAGTTTCAGTCAAATTCTCCCTTTTTAAAGGTAAGTTAATTTGTTTAAATATTTGTTTAAATACTTGTTAAAATAAACAGAACTATTTAAAAGTAACTTAAAAATAAGAAGAGTTGCATTGGAATAATTAAAATAATATTTGCCAATTAAAGGCAAGCAGATTCAGAGGAATAATTGAAATGTCAGCATATTATGGAGAAGGAATATGCGGTTACTGGGTTGAGACATTAAATATCTTAATTAATATGGCTAACAAGTCAATACAATAATGATTATTTTAAAACCTGTATACGATACAAAACCTTACCAATGTAAAGTAGTCCTAACTTACCATGATTACATCATTTTCAGGACTAAAAAAATATTCTCAAAATACTTGACCAAGAGCAGAATATCATAGATACTCAGAACAACTACAGTATTTGCTGGAACAAACGTATAATTGTTAATATAATTAGAAAATGATGTTAACTAAAAACTGCCTAATTACTCACAGAAATTAAACCCAGCACTTTGAGGACATAGCCAAAAGGCTAGGGAAAGGTGGTTCATTTGGCAGAGCTGCAGGACAGGTCGTATGCCAGAATTGCCCTGCGACTGGCCCGTTTCACAGAGGAACACAGCCAAGCACACCAGGTATGATACGTTCCCTGAACCTTGCAGAGTCCCCTCACCCAGCCTGTCACTCATGCCCACTGAGGTGTAATATGTAATGGTTTCTGTTGTTCGAAGTTTTCAGGTACATAAATAGCTGCCTTTCTCAGCACAAGTAAACAGCTGCTGTTACCTGCTCTCTTCTAATTAAATGCTTCCCACTTCATTTCTACTCTTCCAGTTGAGATAGAAGAGTGGAAATCAAAGAGAAGCAAAGAGGAAGGTAGTAAATAAAAAGGGGAGGAGGTATACAGTGATGGAAAATGCAGAAATCAAAGGCACAAAACAAACATATATCCCAATTTATAGCTAGGCGATAGGAAACCTGCCACCATTAAAGTCAGTGGTATTTTCTGAAGTATATTTTAAATTGTTAGAGTGGGAAGACACCTTCTGCCCTTCCTTAGTATGTTATTTCAGCAAGATCTGTATGCCTTCAAAGTATTATTATTTAATAAGATACAGCACAGTGTTTTCATACTCTAGTCACTACCTATAAAGCTTGATACTAACTAGAAGTCAAATACATCAAACATGAATATCAGCGTCTTAGTTTCAACTGGGATGGAACTGTTTTCTTCAGAATGTCTGGCATGATGCTGTGTTTTGGTTCTAGGAGAAAAACAATGTTGATAACACAATGATGTTTATAGTTGCCTACTGAGCCAAGGCTAGTCACAGTGAAGGACCTGAGGAGCTGGGAGAGAATGGAATTGGGACAGCTAACTTAAGCAAGCCAGAGGGATATTCTGTACCATATGATATCAAGTGGAAAGAGTTTTGAAGGGGTTGGGAGTTTGTGATCTCTCTCTTTGCTGCTCGGGGGGCTAGTTTGGCATCATTTGGGGAGTGGTGAGCAATTACTTGTGCATCACGTGTTAAATATGTTGTGGTGGAAGCCCCATTCCTGGAGACATTCAAGGTCAGAATGGGAAGGGCTCTGAGCAACCAGGTGTAGCTGTGGGTGTCACTGTTCTTTGCAGGGGACTGGATGACCTTTAAGCGTCAAACAATTCTATAAATCTGTGATAATGCAATGAGCATGGAATGTGTGTTCTTCAGCTTTTCTCTGTGATTGACCAGTGCCAGAGAAAAGGTACTGTTCTGACTCCTTGTGGTCATTCACATGTATAGTAAAGTGTTATTTGTTCTTTAAAAATGAAAAGAAATATCAATGAGTTTTAAATGTTATAGATAAATCTTTCATAATACATTCTGTTAAATGTATGTATTTCATTGTTGCAATATATTGCATATGTTGTGATTTCACTGAGAATAAATAACTGAACAGGAATTACGCATAGAACAAATCCTCAAGTAAAACTTACACAGGACTTACATGTTTTCTACATTTTAATTGTTTTTTTTTTTTTCAGAGTAGAAAGTGTTCAAACTGGGCTGCAGGTTGGATCAAAGAGTACAAATGTGTTGGCTCATCTTACTCTAGTTTAGATGTCATCTAGAAGTCATTCAGATAGATAACACAACCTTCAGATACAAGAAAATACGGTGACAATTAATTCATCTACTTCATTACCTTTTTGATGTAAATGAATGTTAATCAACTCTTGATAATCCAAATAAACTAAAATAGAAACCTATTGACCAGCCTGTTCTGCTTTTGCTTTTTCTCTTTTTATAGCTTTGAAGCAGTGCTTTATGTTTTAATTTCATGCTTTGATGTGAATGAGCCTGAAGGAACAAGATGGTTTGGGGTCAGTTTGATTGATTTGTTCCTTATGCTTTAAAAACAAGTTGACTATAGGATTTTAAATGTGATTAGCAATACAGCATCTCGTCAATTTACCAGTGCAAAATGATGTAGTGCTTTTCAGCATCTAACTTCAGGTGTATAAACAACATACATAATTTTCTGAAATAAAATTTCTTTGCTATGTTTATTCATTAATTGGGAAAATAATTGATCTATTTATTAATCTAAGTAATTAATTTAGTTATGCTGTTATTTTAATCCTTATGGAAGAACTTTGTTCTTTATGATTCATATATTCTTACTTGCAGATGTTATATGTCAGAGCAAAGTCCACCAGAGTGAAATAATGAAGAAGCAGTTTTGCTGCGCTTCTACATTTGAGATAGTGTGTTGGAGCTGATTTATTCACCTGAACTTGAGTAGCAGGCAAAGTACAACTGTAGAGTATGAGCTCATACATTCGTGTGCACTTGTTTCTTTGTCAAGCTTCACTGTAAGAGGTAAGGTATCTTCCTGCTGTTTTCCTCAGTTGCTTTCTTAATAACTTATAATACCAATTTCTATTCTAGAACTAATTGAATCTGTAAATTATTTCAATGGACTCAGTAAATGTGAGGGAAGAAAAAGGACTGACTTGCTCAAAAATGCTAGAAGAAAGAAACAGCTAACCTGGAAGCTTTAGGTCCGAATACAGATTTCCTAACGTTTTATAATGTTGGTGGGATAGGTTTAGATTTACAGTCATTTCTAATAATTTTAAAAATAATAATAGAAGCTTTCAGTGAAGGGGGTACATGACAGTAGGAAATGCAAACATAACAGAACTTAAGTGCTGTAGGGGAAACCATGTGCTGAATTTTTTTTTTTTATAGTATCTCAATGTCAAATAACCAACTTTGGATGTAATAGGAAATTGTATGTTAATAGTAAATCAGAATTATTACTGTATAGCTGTAAGTAGAATAAGCAAATTCTGTTTTGCTGTTTTTCTGCCTGGTAAGTACAAAAACCAATTCTCAAGCCTGACTTCTATTACAGTGATATATCTTGAACATTTTTAAAAATGTGTTCAATGCTTTTTCACTCTGGAAAACTGTTTTACTGGATCTGCTGCTGAATCTTTAGATTCATAAGGAGTGTGGCTTTATTGCAGTGTAAACCACTGTGGAGAAAGGATCTGGCCTGTGTAGGCTCTGTGCTGACGCTGGCAGGAAATATGCTCTGACCAAAGAGCTGTTTGCTAGAGATATATATTCAGCCTTGATCACAGAATCATAGAATCACAAGGTTGGAAATGACCTATAAGTCCAACCATATATGATGTAAAGGCTTTGGCTAAATTTTAAGCAAATTTGTCCTTGGAGAGCATGGGAGATGTTATTCCGATTCAGTTTGAGCTTTCACTGATACAGAAATACTTCAGTCAGACTGGAATGTGTTTAGGTGAGGACCCCAATAACAGCCTGAGACTTCTTTCTGTATTGGATGAAGAGTTACTAAAGAAGTAACCCAAAAAGGAGGACAAAATGAGGCTCAAAGCACTTTTGATTCCAAATATTGAACCCCTGTGTGTCTTGAGATTGAAGAAAAGTGAAAGAGTTCCTTTTTGTTTTGTTTATTGAGCTTTTTTTCCATATCTGATTTAAGCCTGTGAGTTAAGCCTGTGACCTGTTCTTTATAGCTATGGATGGAAATTCATCCAAAATCAAGTCCAGAATTGCTGAAGTGAATTCTCCAGTGTATGGGAATATTCATGGTACTAGAAAGGCATGGGATTGAGTGTTGTTTGAAATCCAGAGAGTTGGAAGAGCTAGTGCTCCTGATTGTGCCAGTTTGTCCATCAGTGCCTCTGCTTCAATATTATTCACATACATGGGGAATAAGCAAACTTCAGTTCTGATGGATGTAAGACGTCCTTTTAAGGTATGTCATTACATTATTTTCTGTTACGTTTTGTTACAGATAATTAGGTTGTTTTAGGTACAGTGTAAGTGATACAACACAGGGCTCCATGTCAGAACAACCACCGGCTGGAAGTACTGTGAAGCATCAGGAAAGGGAGATGCACTTGAAAGATGGAAGAAGCCATTTTTGACAGAGGCTCTCACTGAAACCAGGTGTTTCAATACCTTTCTCCTAAAAGAGAGAGGACTGTACTAAAGGTCATAAACGTTTCCATTTTCAGTTGCAGTCTGTATTATAGCTGTGGATTGTTGCAGGAGGGCTGATTCTGAAGAAAGATGCTGTTGAAGAGTTCAGCGGGATTTGTTCTGATCTTCCTCTCCCATTGCACTGTGCTGGTGACCACCAAAGAGGCAGTGATCTTGGCTAATGCCCACCTTCTGTCTCAAAGAGATTATGATAGACTGGCTAACATCAATGATAAAGGTACTCATGAAGGGTGAGTGAGCAATCTGGGTGTGTGCGGTGCTTTACTGTATCGCTTTGTGGAATGTTTTCAGCATATTTGAAAGTTTGCTCTGCAACAGTACTTTGAAATATAACGTGTCCTGTCCCAAAGTTCAAAATCTTCAAATCTCTTGCTCAGCTGACACCTAATTCAAGAGGAATTAACAGTTAAAAATATTTTTCTAAAAAATATTTTGTTGCCTTTTAAGAATTATTCACTGACAGTCATGTCTGGATTACATCTGTCACGCCAGGACCTGAACCTCATTGATACTTACAACTAATAGAGATATTGCTCTGCCTACCTAGCTTGCAAGGTCCAACTTGGTAGGCTTTCTAATACATTTGCTGGAGTAAATCCCACATAAAATGCAGACAAAGTGAGCAGTGTATTTGGTTTAGTTTCCTCCTTTGACTGCTGGCATTTGAGGGTCTATAAAATTCACTTTTTAAATTAATTCTGCAACAACCAGCTTGAATAGTTTTCTCATGTGGTTGATAGAAGCTGTTCTGTTTTGCATGAATAACATTCACTGGGTAAATACAAGTGTCACTGTGTGTATTGCTGGCTTGAAGACCTCTGTCTACTTAAATGACCATTCTCTAAACTTGCAGGATCAGATTTGGAGTCAGACTGTCTACCAGAGGAATGCTCTGAAAACTGTGGTCCAGCTTTATGTGACTGCATTTGAAGTCTTTCTCTTTTAGGATGCGTGATAATTTCTTGCAGATAGTATTGAGACAAAGTATTTTATTCATGTCTGGAGATTCTGTTTGGCAATGAAAAGCCTAGAAGTAAGACCTCAGAAAGCCTATGTGCTTCTGTAAATCTGCCCTGAGTGCCTTAGAGCACCAGAAAATGTCTGAATATCAGATATAAAAGGCTATATTTAACACAGTGAGGATGCTATGCATAATAGTATTCAACAAGTTTAGTCCAGCTGGACTTTTCAGAGTTTGCATTACAGTTCTTCATACCCTGATATTAAATCAGAGAAGGCATTGTAATTTCAGTAAAAGCTGAAAAGGGCGATGACTTAGGTAGAAAAGTAAACAGTAAAGTCAAAGGAGTCTGGGAATGTTTGCTTCTAAGTGTGTACTTATTAAGTATTGGTATTACTAAGTATACCAAAACAACAGTAGGAATGTACTGATAAAATTCCATTCTTTACATAATGTAGAGAAATGTCAATACGAAGAGCCAGAATGTTACAGAAAAAAAATAATCAGATATTCTTAAGTAATACTGATGGGATAAAAAATAAAGTATGAAATTCCAGATTTTACTTCAAGGTTAGGACTTACCAGTTACAAAAATCCAAAGATGGAAGTCTAGATTAATGGAAACGAAATGCTACAAGTTCAATCATTGAATTCATCGGCAGAAGTGTTTCTAAAAAGACTATGGATAAATCAGAGGCATCAAGTAAGGCCATCTGCAGTACAATGTGTAAATTTAATTCACATTCTAGGAGATAAATTTGCAGCTGAAAAGCTTCTAAAACAATTGAGAACCGGAAGATTTATCTTACACAGAATAATAACAGAACATTTTTAGCGTAACAGAATTCACCCTAACTAAACAAAGGCTGATTAAAAATTTAGCTGTCCTCATTGTGTGTGACAGCTTATAACCAGGGAAGAATGTGTTCAGTAAAGGATTAGCAGGGAGCCTCTGGTCAATGCTTTTATCAAGGAAAAGTATTTTTTTTTTCCTGAGCTTATTATTATTTTTATATTTGGAAATATTTTTCCTTTGTTGTTTTTTGACAATTTTTTGAAAAAAACCTGTGCTTTCCCTGAAATATTCTAGCCTTCCAGAAGAATGCTTCTGGTGAAAACAAAGCAGCTGAGTTCTAAATACAGTATCTAAATTCCTATCAGTTATCGTCAGGACAGAGCTTAGAATTTCCTAGCTCTAAAAAACTGTCATATTACATCACAGGTGATCTTTAAGAAATTTTTCAATAGAAACATAAAATGATTAAGTCTTCATTAAATATAAATTAAAAATTCTTTGTTAAATACAAATTACAAGTATTTGCTAGTATAATCACATGCCTCTTAGGAGCAAGTGAGTGACTATTTCAACTGGAGGAAGAGTGTATTTGTACATTTTGGCTTTACAATCATACTTCCACCATACATAAAATCACATACTTCTGTATTACAAAATACAACAACACCTTTCAGGAACTTTTCAGTGTGTTCTGCCCTCAAATCATCCCCTTTTTGCCAAGTGCATGCCTTTCAGTTGGGCTGAAGTCAGTCTGACTCAGTTTCCAGCCAGATCAAGGCAATCATGCACTTACTCTGGAGGGCAGAGTTTAAAAAAAAAAAAAAAAAAAAAAAATTGAACAGAAATTTAATTTATAACTCTTTTTTCTTTTTTTTTTTTCCCTACTTAGACTATCTAAGGGATTGTTTTGAGATTTTTCAGCACTCCAGAGGAAATTCCGGAGATGGTCTTTACGTCATCCATCCAAAAGAAGACCCAATTGTTGTCTCTTGTAACATGCAGGATGGTGGCTGGACAGTAATCCAGCACATTACAGCCAACAGTACTGTCGACTTTGATAAAACGTGGCACGATTACAAATATGGGTTTGGCTCTGTTCATGACAACCACTGGTTAGGAAATGAATACATGCATCAATTAACTGGCGGCTCTGTGCAATATGTACTTGGAGTTAAACTTGTAGACCTAAATGCTGAAATCAAATGGGGACAGTACGAACCATTCTGTATTGAAGATGAAGAAGCTCAATACCGAATCAAGGTTGGCCTATACAGAGGCAATGCTACTGATGCTCTAACTCTGGACACAGAAGCTTACCTCCACGACAACCAGAAGTTCACCACCAAAGACAGAGACAATGACAATTACTTTCAGAATTGTGCCAAACTAGAACACAATGGTATTCCTGGGGGAGGCTGGTGGTATGATGCATGTGCTGGGGCAAATCTAAACCGTAGGAACGTGATATACTGGCAAAAGGACTGCAGCAAGAAGCATTTATGCAAGTTTTCATGGATGATGGTCAAACCTGTTGAACACAGCCCACTGTATGCAACTAACTGTTGTCCGTGTCAGAAGGAGGAACTGTAGGTGAGCCATGTATCCTTTAAATGGGACAGGGGTTCTTTGTCAAGTGACTGAAGTAAAATCACACTAATTAAATAATATTTGTGATGAAAAATTTAGCTCCTGCAAGGGGTTTGTGATCACATATTGCCCAGGACTGGACCTAAACCATATAGATATCTACCAATCACAGAAACGAGAAAGATAATCTCTAACAAAAGATTTACACTACCCATTTTATAGTATTTTGGCCGTAGGAGGAGTTAGGTGTGAAATCTGGGAGATATAGCAGATACGCATACATACACATGAATTTTAGAAGGTTTTGCTCCAGGATGAATGTTCATCATTAACTGCACATCTTCACAAATTATGCAGGAAGGAAATTTCAAGGGAAGTACCTATATTTACAAAATGCTTATCAGAGAGTATTGCGTACCATACGGTAGCATAAAGCCTTTCCTTTTTACCTTTAGTGAGAGATATTTTAATATTTTTACTTGGTAGGAGCCTTATCTCCAAATGCTTCTTTAATGGTTCCATATCTAATGAATTACTCAGAACAGTATTTTCTTCTTTCTTATTAAAGCACCCAGAGCTAATAGCCTCATCAGCTTTCCCACTAAAAGCTACTAGTCCAAGGCCAAGTAAAGGCTACTAGCCCACAGCTCCAATTTTTCCTCTTGTTCCATGAAATACTAAAGCTTTTTGTTTGTTTGTTTTTTGTTTTTAGTACCATTGTGCGATAAGAACAGTGTTGGCATTACTTTACATGTGCTGGCTTCAATTGTTTTGGTACTCAACCTTGAGCTTACTTAAACAATGTCTTTTTTTCTCGATTGTAACACAAAGAGAAAGCCTTTAAATTCATGATGAATTCATCTATTTTAAAATCATAAATAAAAGCATTTCGGTTTTGGTAACCTTGAAGATCCTGTTTACTTGTACAAATGATGGGGTTACTTAGAATCTTCTATTTCACACTTTTCAATATAATTGGAATAGCTGAATTACTACTTAAGAGTTTTCATTCTTGTATTCTACAAATTGCCAGGATAACAATTAGAATATCTTGTATTTTATTGTAGATTTTCAGTTGCAGAAACTCAGGCAACAGATATTGGCGAAGTTCTGCTTTTTAATTAAAAAATGGGATCCTGTCACTGCCATGAAAATTAATTTAGAGACAAATAAACTGTACTGTGTTTAGAGAAGACCAAGACTGGCATGATTACTTGAGAAATTAATTGGAAAATGGAGAAGTCATGAAAGAAAATTCTATTTTTTACATTGCACTGTAACACTTTCAGAAAAAGATACAGGTAAGTTGTGCAGGTGAGGCCAATATAGTGTATATGCATATTTTGCAGCAGGTAATGTTTTGCCTTCAAATTGTGATTAAAAAAAAGAAGTATAATAGAGCAAGAAGTGAATGAATTTATGAATTGAATTGATGTAATCAAGTCAAATAATGTGGATTCTGCTGCAACTGCATCAGGAGACCTCCAAAGGTTGTAATGAAGATACAAGAAAATTGCTGTCTCCCATAGCTTTTACCCATCAAGTTCCCATCTAGATAGACAGATTCTAACATTACTACCAAAAAACAGCACAAATAATCTTGACATGGAAACATCCAGCTGAAAGCCAGCAGGCTGTATCTGATCCTCAAAGGCAAATAACCTGCTCTGCAGCTCGCTCATCCTGCTTGGAGGATTTTGGAGGAAAGGACCTGTGGAATACGCTCCATGAACAGTTCAGGCATCACCAGCCCAAATCCAGCTGTCCACTCTCTAGTGGAGGCACTCTCTAGTGTAAACTGGAGTCCTACAGACCTCTGCTGACACTGAATTCCAGTATGGGAATTAGATTAGCATATAGTAATAAATGGTATTGATAGATCTGCAGACAAAAACATGACAAACATTAACAGTTCAAGCACTGACTTTAATGGAAGTCATGGAGTGTGGTATGTTCCATGCTTCTAAATGAAGAAAGAATGGAAACTACTCTAAGAGCTGGATTGAGGATGAAAATAATTAGGAATATTCCAATCCACTCATCAACACTTCTTTCTTAGAGCTTTCAAAGAGAAGGACGTGTTGTTTTGGAGCTCAGGTTTGGAAGTACATTTCAAATGGAGAAGCCACTGAGTATACAGAAAATGGTAACTCCAGCTCGTCTGTTACGAACATCGGAGGAAAGTCATTTGGTTTCCTAATACCCAGGTGACTCCTTCATGTTACTCCTATCTCTATAGAAAGTAAAGAAAATTAATCCCAGAGGTAAATTACATAATTCAGTTTTTTTTTTTTTTTTTTTTTTACTTTGTTTTCCTAAAGCAAATAATCCAGAGCGAGTAGAAGTGCCTATGTCAGAGTATAATATCACAGAGTAATTTGAGGAAAGTGATGGCCAAATATTCTTATTCGATATGAAGATTTTAGAAATCCCAAACTGTGAAGGGCTGATAGGAAACTGTTTCCTACTAAAGGTAAGGAACTGTTTTTACAAAATTCTATTCAAAATACAGTCTAGTGACAGTCTGCAGGTATTCAATTCTGAGTTTCAAACTAAGTATCTGATTCCATAATAACTGTGTTCTAAGAGAAAACACTATCTTCCAGACTTGCATCAGATTTTTTAATTGTTAAAATGACTTCTGACTTAGGTTTAATATACTTACCACCTCCCAGTGCCTTATTTATTCTTTCAGGTGTATGACTGTCCTTAGGGATGTTTGCATTAAGATGTATTAGTTCAATTAATTTGACATAGATCATGTGTGGAATTTGACAAGGAGGCAATGATACAGATTTCTCAAAATGCTCTGTGTAGGAGATAAAATGATCAGAAATAATTCATTAAATAATTAAAAGTAGAAATTGGGACTTTTTGTGAGGCTCGACTCTAAAACTGGAACAGAATATATAGGGTGATAAGGAAGTACAATTAAGGATTTTTGCTTAAGTACATCTCTGCATCTCTGGAATCCTCAAGTTCGTATAAACCAATGCAGTTCATGCTATGGGTACAACTGGGATGAGGAACAAAACTCCACATACAAAAATACCTTTCAGCAATTAACAGCAATTGTTAATTGAAGTGCATAGAATAATTATACATTAGAACAATTATGATCAGTAACTAAATTATAGAATTAAGTTAATGGGAAAATATTTTACAGGTTCTCGCTGTATTTACTCTTTATCTCTTCATTTCAGCCTTCCCCAGTTCTGTGAACTCTTTCAAGGCTTTATAAAGTGTATTTATGTAAAACGAATGGGTTTCTGAGATTCACGGGGAGACTTGCTTACATAAAAAAGGAGTGACAAAAACAATACCTCTGTTTCCTTTGTGGGAAAATTCAATATTCAAAAATATTTAAATGTGCAAGGTCTCTGAAAAGCTTATTTGGGGATGTATGTTCATACAACTATATTGATAATACATACATAGATATATAGACAAATATATGCATATGCATGTATAAATAAAGTGCAGTTTAAGAAAAAGTTCTTTTCATAAGTCCACGACCATAATTAATTAAAGGATCAGTAAAAGGTTCATTAAAAGAGAAATACAGATAATGAGATTGTTTTACATTGCAGAAGCCCCACGACATGTTTAAAGGAGCCTTTATAGAGCTAGAAAACAAAATAAAATTAAGAAACTAAATACTAACTCACACTCTAATGAGTTTTTGTGGTTTCTTATTTTTTTTTTTTAAGGGTAAACATCTCACATAACAATAAAGCGACAAACACCTCTTAATATAATTCCAGGTCTTTACAATGTACCCAGGTTTGGCAGTGTAACGTCTCGCACTGTGAAGTGTTAGCAGCATAGTTTGAGCACACGTTTCACAATTATAGTGAACCAACATTGTTGCATCCATCACCATCTACTCTAATACATTTACTAAGCACAGAGTCCATAAACATTTACATAGCACTCTAGTTCAACAGAAGCCAAAACCAACAAAATATATTCAATTTAATTTTAGAAGTAGAAGCCAATGCTTTACTTTAGAAACAACATCACAGGTAGCAGCAATAGTTACTATCTCATGAATTTTGCCTTTAACTACAGCTTATGCCACAGAGGGCATTCATTTGCTAAAAATCAAACACAGTTTACTGAATGTCCAAACCAATGTAGTATAAAGTTACCTACTGTAATAACTGACACGTACGTAGTTACTGCACACAGAAAAAGCTCTGGTAGTGACAGAGGAAAGTTGATGAAAGGGTCTTTGAAAAGACCAATGCATTCTTTTAATAAGTAGTCATATGCTAATGCACACAAAGTATTAGGCACAGTGTGGTGTGTAAAAGATCAATCAAGTGAACTCCGAGAATGTATTTTTACATTACTACACTGCTAATCTTTCACTGACAGTTTTTCCCTCTGGAGATTGAGGATAAAAAATATTAATTACTTGTACTGTGATTGCTGACATGAAGGATTTATATATCTGCAGGGAAATATGTTGATGATACAATAATAAATTATATGAATGATTCTGCTGGGAGCAGTGTTATGTTCAGGATGAACTAACGTGATCCCTGAAATATGCAGCTGGGTCTCATCACTGCTGCACTGTCCCCCTAATGTGTATAATAGCTAAAAAAAATAAACATTGGCCCAAATTTCTACTTCAGAGCATCTCACCCTGAATTTTGATAGAGGCTAGAACTGAATCTGAACTTTTGAGGTGGACTCAGTGAGGTGCGTGAAATTCTTTCTCTGTTACTCATAAGTATTTGTGTACTTTAAAATTTCACTCCTCATGAATCCTGTCACCACTAGCATATTTTTCTACCACTATGAGCCAGGCATTGTTTCCATTCAGTCAGTGGCTTTGTGCTAAAAGCAGCCCTGCCTTCACATACTTACTTGTCAAGGATGCATGACTTCTGCCAGTCTAACACAGATACCAGATAGGCACATGAATGTCTTTACTGCATTCAAAGCCCTGGCAAACCTCAGCTACTGGACAGGTGATCAGCTCACTGCAGCTGTACCCGGAGTCCCAGGAGCCACAGCCGCAGGTGGGATTGTCTCCAGCCCCCAGTGTTGCAGCAGACAAAGTTCTGCTGGACTGGGAAACTTCTATTTCCAAACACCTGATGCTGATTAGTATTTGTAAAGATATTTAGAGATAGAAGTGCTATGAAAGCACGAAACTTTTATATAGATAATGGAGAAATACTTACAAAATATTTCTTCTTTCAGAAATACCAATTTTGCCATGGCTTCCAATAATTTTGTGATAGGTAGGTGAATTTGCAGGGCATTGATGCACATTTTTGTGCACTTGCAAGGGGGAGTGCAATAGAGAGACTGCAAGAAGGATTTGACTTATATCCCACACACTGTAAAATAGACAAACTGTGTCCGTCCTTATAGTCAGTTCTGGTCAGTACTACTGTCACTACTGCATACATTTAAAATGTATCCTTCTGAGGCATTAGGAAATGAAGAAATACAAATTCATAGATATCTGCTAACTATCACCATGTTTAGATAACACTGACTTGCAGGATGGAACTGAGATGTGCGGGATGTAACTGCAGGATGTGTGAGATGTGGACTGGATCCTCCTTATATGAAATACATTATCTGATTCCTTCCCTGTGAGCCCTTCTTCTGTCTCCCCAGAAAAGACATCTTAAAGTGCAAATTTTCATAGTATTACATTCTCCTGTAGTAAGTGTATTCTTTTGGAATAGTAAGAATCTCCCTAACTCCCCAATCTCCCTAGTATTGATAACAGTATTTCCCTCTTTAAATAGTCCTTATTTCATTCCATAGCATGTGGAAAAGTCTCAAAACAGAAGTAATACGTGTTCCATTGCTTGTTCCATTGAAAAATAAATAGACAATACAGCAGAAAGGAGAAAAGGAACTATAGGAAGAAACAGTTCTGCACTAAGAGGAGACAGGCTGGATAACCTGCCCTGATGACTGGATGATAATCATGTGCTAATTTCTAGAAGTTTATAAGACATACTACAATTTCTCAGGCTGAAAGAAAGGACAGAAGAACCCAAACACAACAATTTTAATGCAGATCTACTGCGTAATCATGAACACCCTGCCAGCAACCACTGACTTCTTTATCCCAAATACACTACTTTCATGCAAAATATCACTTTTTGCTGACTATTTTTTTTAACACATAGACATATAAAACAACAGCTTTGAAAATACGGAATCAAAAGTCCTTTACTAGGCTATGTTAATATCTATTTTTCCATTTATCTCTTATATAGGAGTTGTTATGGCATTCGAGTATTGCCCTGCCAGTACAGTTTCTCTTCCACTTTTTTCTTTTTCCACTGGCAGAAAAGTAGCATCTTAAAAGTTTTCCTGAAAGTTTTGTTACAGAGAGCATAACACATGGGATTAACAGTGCTGTTCACATAGCATAGCCAGTATCCAAGGTGCCACAATGTCAGAGGAATGCAGTCCGAGCAGAATGTGGAGATCAAAACCATTATATTGTAGGGAGTCCATGTGATGATAAAAGCCAAAAGAATGGCACTCAAAGTTTGTGCTGCTTTACGTTCTTTTATAAGAACCATCCTTTTCCTTTTGGTGATTTGGTTATTTATATTTGGATCCATGCTTTTGATGGAAGGATCCTTCGACACAGCAGCAGAACAAGGAGTTATTTTTACCTTACGGCAACCATTGTTGGCTTCCTGAGTGCCATCAGCCTTAACCACCAAGCGGAATTTGTAGGCCACACATTTTTTACTTTTTTGGCCGATGGCAGGTGACAAAAAGTATTGCTGGGTCTCAAAATCGTTTTCTTCAGGTTGGTCTTTGACAACAATATCCTTACTTTCCCTTTCATTAAATTCTTCTTCCTTACCTTTAGATGGACTCCTGTATGCAACTTGGAAAACAGGATCAGTGGCAAGTTTGTCCTCTTCTTCTGATGATGCATAGCTGCTGCAGGTGGTCAGTTGGTCAGCCTTAGCCCACTCAGTGCACGTGCTCACTGCCTGGGATGCCTTCACTGTAGCTGATGTACTTCGACTGGATGAAGACCAGGAAGCCTGACATCTCTCTCTTTTGACTAAGTTTTGTTGCTTGCAACTGAAGCAAGACTTCAGGAAAGCTTTTCGAGGCTTTATCGTCTCAAATTCGGCCACAGACTCAGAACCCTGAAGTTCAGCGAGGTCCTTGGTACGTTTCTCAGTCTCTTTGTAGATGCGGCAATATAAAATGGTCATCACTGACACTGGAATGTAAAAAGCAGCAATTGCAGTACCAAAAGTGATAATGGGCTCGTATAAAAATTGTATCTGGCATTCCTCAGGGGGTACTGTTCGTTCACCCACAAAATACTGCCAGCATAATATTACAGGTGCCCATAGAATGAAGGAGATTAGCCAAGCCAGGCTGATCATGATGCCAGCTCTTTTGGGCGTGCGTTTAGCTCTGTATGTCAAAGGCCTTGTGATGGAAAAATATCTGTCAAAGCTGATGACTAGGAGGTTCATGACTGAAGCATTGCTAGCTACGTAATCCAGCGCTAGCCACAGGTCACACGCCAGGCTTCCAAGAGACCAATGGCCTATGAGTATATAAGAGGTATAGAGGTTCATAGAGAATATTCCAATGATGAGGTCTGCACAGGCAAGACTGAGCAAGTAATAGTTGTTAACAGTTTTGAGCTGACTGTTAACCTTGAAGGATATCATTACAAGAACATTTCCCACTATGGTTATTAAGCTTACAATTGCAGTTACAGTGGCAATAGTAATAACTTCCCAGAGGCTGTGCCCTTCTAACTGTTTATGGTTGATGGATGAACTATTTATAACAGTAGAATTGCTGAATAGATTTACTTCCATTCTTTTTCTTGATCAATGGTTATCAGAATCTTAGCACTCTTGCATATTGTTTTCTGTATATCTTTTGGAGGCAGCTGTAAAAATAAAAGGAAAAAAGAGAAAAAGAAAGCAGCTCATTAAATAGCACGGACTTCCATTAGGTATACCTTGAAACACTTGCAAAGCAATCCATCAAATTATTTGTGTTCTCTTTCTGTATTGTCATAACTGTTTCTATCATTGTGAACTAAATAAAATATACACGTGTTCTAGGACAATGTACTCATGACTTTTCTAAATGCAATCAAAACAACTATTGTTTCATAAGATGTTCAATCACACAAGCTCTTACATTTTTAATACCTTAAGAGGCACTCTACATATTGTTAAAGGCAGACATTAAAGTTTTGCAGTGTAATGAGACAGTGAGTCATGGTGTTGTTCCTTATAACACTGTGTAGAAGATACGTCAAAATTTCAGAAATGGTCTCTAGAAAATTTGAGGAAGTCACTGTTTCAGAATCCATCAGCAGAAAAGGAACACAGGGGTACTGAAGATGCATAGGGAGATAGTAACCATGCTGGCACGGTGGCACTGGTAAATAATTAGGTGTTAGAAGTGCTCTGCTGGTGAATTTTTAGAGTTAAGCAAATAGGAAAGGACAAAAAAAAAAAAAAAAAAAAAAAAGTTTTCAGAAAAATAAGTTTAGCTGAAAAGACTTTTCCCTATAGGAAGGTCTGAGTAAGATAAGGTGTGGAAGTGCTGGAAGGATTGGGTGAGGACAGAAATGAGTAAAATGAAGGGGAGTTATCAATGGATAACCTCAGTGACAAACTGCAACAGAAACAATTTAATACTGTAGACTGCATAAGCAGTAGAAGGAAATGAAACCACTGTTGTTATATTAATATATATATCTCTAATGTCCATACCTTCCTACAGTCTCTCTCATATGGTGTAACTTTTCACTGCTGTTTTCTTGTTTCTGAGAATGCATGCCTGAATCAGGCAATTAGCTTCTTTCACAGATCTCTGCTGGTTTTTAGTTATTCCATCACATCTGATGATGTTAATCATTTGTTTGATGCTTACTCTTTGTAGGCCACATAATTTTGGAATAATCAAGTAGATGTTAGGTTTTTAAAGTCAGAAATAGAAAAGGATGTTTAAATTTATCAGCCATCTACTCAGTAAAAAAACAGGTAAGAAGATCTTTTTTTTTTTTTTTTTTTTTTTTTTTTTGTAACTGATACGGGTTCAGCTAAAATTATCATATAGGTCACCAAGTCCAACTTTTAAGTCTTCAGGATACAAAATCTCTCTTTTGTAGTCCTTCCTATCCATTCATACCACTCCTCTTTCATCCTAACTCTTGGAACATTATTTTCTTTGGTCTTTGCAAATATCTTGCATTAACTGCAAGCTTTCCAGCCTGTAGTTTTCACACATTGTCATCTATTTTAGTGCCCAATAGCAGGCTCCTGAATAGATGAACATCAGCTGAATATATAAATATTTTATAGCCACTTGCTGAATTTTCAGAAAATAATCTCAATATTTTCCACTGTCATTTTACTTTATATTTTATTTTTTCCTTCACTTTTGTTATCCAGTGTCTTTTAAGTATCCACAAAAGTAGACCAGATTTCTTCTTCAAACATTCCATAAAGACTACCTCTTGTGATGAGATTTGATAACGGTAAGCTTGCTAGTGTACTGAGACCACTGGCTATGACTCTGACTGAAGTGGTGCTTCACCGCTTTGTCTCTCTGTCATCTCCTGTCTTATATTTAGACGTCCATAAGTCTGTATCCTGTTTATGCATAATGCATACTGAGTGTAGCTGAACAGGATTTTAGTTCATGTATAGGCCTTGTAGCCTAGCAATAACCACAGTAATTATAACATATGAATGTCGACCATCTGTATGCTTAGCTTCTCTGGCCTCATGAGCCAGCCTAGCAGCCAAGAATAGCAGAAGTGACACAGCAGTCCCAACAAGCCCTAAGTGAGGGAAGAATTTTCATCCTGGTTCTAGACTCTGCAGAAATCTACAGGAGAAAGGAGATGGAGGCCCTTGCTTCTTGCTTTCTTCACAACAGTTCTTATTAGCAGGGCAGCTGACCTCAGACAGCTAAGCTCTAACTTAGTCAACTGAGCTCCTAGAAAGGGGATGTGCATTCTGCCTGACAACTAACATAGCTGAAACATTGCCAGTGCTCGTAGCTATACGGCAAGTGAGATTTCAGAAAAACCTTGAGACAGCCTCAAAAAGGCATTAAGTATGAATGTCAATCAGGCACATGAATAAACCTCTATTAACTGGCTGCCTTCTACATTAGAATCATAGAATCATAGAATTATTGAGGTTGGAAAAGATTCCAGGATTGTCCAACACCAACCTATCCCCACCATGCCCACTAACCATGCCTAACACTTGGGGTTCTGCAGCAAGTTGGGAAGATTACAGAAGGCTGAATTTCTTTTTCTTTATTTTTCTTTCTTTCTTTTTTTTTTTTTTTCTTCCCTAAAATGTGACACCCTTCTCAGAATAGAAGAGAGTAGAAATTATAATGCTTTGTCTTTTGCCATAGGCAGTAAGTGAGCAAGTGTGCTCCCCAATCAGATCTTTTACCCTCCCTAAAACTGGAAATTAGAAAAGACTTCTGAAGCTATCCCACGTAGACTGCAGACCACAGAGCAAAAGGAGAAGCAGAACTTGTTGCCCTAACACAACTGCTCTTGGACTGAAATGACTTCAGTAGGGAGAACACAGATGATATGGATATACATTGTAATTAATATATAAACAAAAGACAGAAGAGCATTGTGAGGGTAAGCGTCCTCACAAAGGGATCCCTAAATGTATCATTTTGGGGAGCCAAACACAGCTCATCTCTTCACAGTGATCCTCTCTGCTGTTACATGAAAACTTAGCTACTTCTTTTCTTTTTGAAGGCTTTTCACACTTTTCCTTCCAGTCTCGTTTTTCTTCTTTGCGCCAATCTTACACCAGCACTCTTACATTCACCTACTATCTTTTTTGAATACATTTTGCTTTCTCCAGTGCTGTTCTTCATGCTTGGTATGAGTTCCCTATAATCAATGACACAAACTTAGCCATTATCACCAAATAAATCACTCTCACTATCATCATGTTTTCTCCCTAATGGACTGTTTTGCTGACACCTATGAAAACTGACAGTACCTAAGCAACTCTCATGCAAAGATCTCCTGACATTTTGACCATTTGGATAGCTTCTCATACTGCATCCTCTTGTGCCTCATAGTTCTCTGTTAACACATTATAGTGTTACACTTTAAGTGTTACACATTATAGTGTTACCTTTTGTTCTTTATTTTTCTGTAACTCGGAGCAACAGTCTACGAATGAGACTTCAGTGTGCTATGGTAACATAATTTATGTTAACTGTCTATCACAACAGATTATAATAATAGGGAGATCAGAATTAAATTACAAAATCAAAACGCACATGTACAATACCATGACTTTGCTATCTGCCTCAAAATTATTGATGCATGAACTTGTGAGTTGTCATGAATTTGTTATTTGTTGCCAAATATTTCTGATTTTTTTTTTTTTTTTTTTGAGCTAGCTGTAAGTACTAATTACTGCGAGATGTTAAATCTGTACATATAGTCAGCTCACAGCTATCTGCAGGCAGATTGTTCATGTCACAGATGAATTGTGCCACAGATGCAGTCACAGCTTGGGTTTAATGGGGTTTATTAGCTCTAGCTCAGTGCTGGGCCTGCCAGGCTGGTGTTGGCTGCACATGGAATTGCTCCAGTGTCTTAGTGACGTGCTTGCTGCTGATGCATCCCCCCTACTAAATGTATTTGCTTGCATGCAGTACTGAAACCATGCTAATGTTACTGGTTTGCAGTGCATTAAGGCCTAGCAGCAGTCTTTGCTATGGGCAGCAGTAGTGCAGAGATATATAAACCATGATTTCACAGTGTGGGTTTTCTGGCAGCACTGTGCTGTGAGGATTACTGGGTTTAAAAACCCCGTCAAAACAGGTATTTTAACATGTATTTCCAAATGACAGTTTGCACGGGAAAACCAGTGCAGTAACTGTGGGATGGGGGCTCGGTAAACCTCCCTGGCATGGCACGTGGACTTTAGCTCAGGCACAACAGAGCAAACAGCCTCGCTCGGAGGGACTCGGAGTCCCTGCCCGTGCGCGTGCAGGAACGCCTGACAGACTTTACTTTGCACGGGCTTGCCCGCAACTAGATGTCCGACAGGGGTTGGTTCCTTTTTTTTCCTCACACGGTGCAGAAACGAACCTCACACAGCTGTAACATCATTGTTTTCTAAACATTACAACGCACTGTTTTGGCACAGACCCGGTCGGGCGCACTGACGTGGCTCGCGCGAGCCGCACCGCCGCGAGCAGGGCAGCAGCCGGGGCCACTGCCGTGCAGCGCCGCCATTTCCCGCTCTCGCCCTCACAGCCTGCCTCTTTCCGGGAGGAGGCGGGGACCGGCGCGGCACGGACCGTCCCGGCCGCAGGCGGCGCGGGTGAAGGGAGCGGCCCGGCCATGCAGCCGGAACGGGGAGGCAGCCGGCCCCGGAGGGAAGGTGGCCGGCACGGCCGGAGACGGCCCGGCGGCGCAGATAAGGCGGCCGAGTCGGCGACCGAAAGCGGCAGCGCGGACAGCCACGGCCGAGGAGGAACCGGGGGCCGCGGGAGAGGCGGCGCTCAGGGACACCGAGGAGGCGGAGGCCGCGGGAAGCGAGAGGCTCGGGGCCGCGGGGCAGCGCCGCCACCGGCCGCGCGCGAGCACCGACGGGTAAGGAGGAGGTGGAGGAGAGCCCGCCCTCCGTGGTACGGGAGCGGGCAGAGGCGGAGCCGAGCGTGGCGGGGCCCGGCGCGGGGCGAGTGGCGGCGCTGCGGTCTCTCGCTGCTGTTCGCGCGTTGCAGGGCGGTGGTTTTCTGGCCGAAACCATTTACGGTTTTGTGCTGGGAAATACGCGTCTCTTTTGAAGAGTCCAAGAGTGCAATTAGAGATGAAGTATTGCTGAGTATTTTTGGCACAGGTGGTTACAATGAGTGCGTGCCCGCCCCACCTGCGCGGAACTCGCGAGAACGTGGGGATGGCTTGCAGAGTAGGTACCCGAGTCATGGGAACACGCGGTTGTCACGAGGCGCAGTCACTGGCCCGTGCTTGAGCTAAACATAATGGCTTTTAACAGGTTAAAAATAACGCAAACGTGTCTGCCAGTACCACACTCACACCTTCAGTTTGCTATGGAGATGTTAAAATATTTTATACAGCCCACCATGGTATGAGATCAACGCTATCCCTTCAAAAGCAATTTCCATTAAAAACAGCACTTTCTAATTCGGGGTTGAGTGATCTGGCAGTACTCCCTCCGTTCGGGTTGCCTTGCTTCCTTTAGTTTTATAGCAACATAGAAATACTGACTGTCCCAGGACTGACAAAAAAGGTGCAGTCACGGCCTGACAGGTTGGTGCTGGCAACAGGTGGGGCTGTCCTGGGGTTACAGAGCAGCTGCTGTGTCACACTGACTGTATTCTCTTTTGTGGAATTGTAGTTTCCACTGGCCAGCGTTTTGTCTGCATTAGAACACCCGTAGTTGCTGTTGGTTTTCAGAAACTGTAAGATATTTGTTCATTTTGTCACTGCGTGTATATTTTAACGCTCATTTTTAGAACAAAAACACAGCTGTATTGATGCTGTCACCTAGAGTAGGGTTGATAGTTTCCCTTGTATGTAGTATTAGTCTCTGAGTACATGCTGAAGCGTGCAGACAAGTTTGAGTTCTGTATGTGTGCTCTCATGCACCACAGAGGCATGTGTAGGATTTCAGCACCTGTATTAGCTGAGAAAACTGCCATGGGTTGATTTTCTTTGCATCGCTCAACTGTTTCTTACTAGCTTAAAGCATGTCTGTAACTGTGTTCTCTTCAGTATCGTCTCCATGCACCATAAACGATGCACTCAGTAAGGGAATCAAACATATGTATGCTTTTTTTTTCTTCTTCTTTTTTTTTTTTTTTTTAATCTGGATTATTAATTGAAATATTTTAGGAAACAGTTGAAATACCTTCTTGTTAGACAGTTTATAATATGTTTTGCCTGAACACTGACTGATATCCTCTTCATCTTAGCTGAGTGTAGTGACTTCATCTGTTTGTCTTAGGCCAAGGCTAGTATGAGTTGTGTGTTTAAAAGTGAAGCCAAACTGAGGGGTTTCCTAGAACTCCACTAATCAGAGTTAAAGCATAATGCTTTTCCTACTCTGGAGGCTTCTGGTCTTAAGTCCTGTGTGCTCTCAGCACATCTGTTGCAGGTCCTGCATTTGTCACATGCTCCTAGCAATCTAGCCAGTGCTAACACCTGGCAGCCTGCACCTGGGGATGTCTAGTGTTTAAGCCAAGCTAAATGTGTACTGCTTGGAAACAAGGTCTTTCACCTGGCTCTTTTTTTTCTTTTTTTTTCCAACTGTGTGTTCATTTCAGTCTGGTGAATGCTTGGCTGTGTTTTCTGAATGGGTTCAGATCTGACCTGGCAAGAAGTTATCTCCTTTATTTCTGGCTCTCAGTCTTCAGTCTGTTCTGCAATGTCGCTTGCTTTAGCAGCTCAGAGAGAGGGAGCTGGGCCCATGGTAAGTTGTTTATGTGAGAGGGGGCTCTACTTGTTTTAAGCAGTGTAGATTATGTACCTGGAGAGCCAGATAGTAATACTGGGAATGTGAATGGTTTGTCACCTCATTTTTTTTCTGACTGCATGATGGAAAGCCTGCGTCTTCTCTGGAAAACCTCCTTTCTTTTATTTCAGATGAGCCTTCAAGTTCCTTGGAGAAAGGAGATGAAGGACACTGTAATTTTCTAGTTTGGGATTTCCTTGGGCAATTGCAGCCCTTTTGCTTTCCAGGGTAGAACTTGTGAAGTATTACTCTGCATTTCTCACACTGCTGGTCTCACTTGAACATTTTGGAGAAATTTTCCTACTAAATTAGGATTCTTCTAGCATTATATAATTATAATTTAGATGATCTAGTTTTATTTCCTGAAAATAATTGTTGTTTAGATTCATAATTATAATTTATATGTTTTATAATTGTTTTTATTATTTTTTAGTTTTTTTTAAAAAAAAACTCATTGTTTGTTCGTAAACTATTGCTGCTAACCCTGATACAGAAGTGATTTTTGATTGCTAAAGCTTTAGTTGCCTGAGGTCTTTTCTTTTTGTTTATTGTCAACTTCAAATTGCATGAAAGTAACTGGATTTGGATTTGTTGAGCCTGCAGAGCAGTAAAATGCAAGTAAATTAGAGGTGAATGGACTTAGTAAAGCATTGCAAGAGCATTACTAACACTGTACTTCATTTGAGAACTTGGAAATGCCTGGCAGTTTTTACAGCGAGCAAGAAATTGGCATTAAACCACATCATGTTTTGGCAGTAATGTTCTTTAGTAATTTGCATTCATTTAAAACTAAAATTCAACTTCAAAATTTGTGTTTCCACTGTTTTAATTTAATGGTCCCTAGGACAGTTTGTGAAGCTGCCAGAGGCTGTGGCACATCCTGCCTAGGCTGGTTTTTTGACCTGTATGGCAGGGAGCAGAAAGCACAAAGGTGGTAGGATGCTAGCATATCTTTTCTTTTGTGGGCCAGTGAAGGCTGGACACCACTTCATATGTTTGTACACTACTGTGATTGTGCTGTAATTCTTTTAGTAACGGGTGCTACTTTCCAATTCTGCCAAGATCCATTATTTTCTCAGTCAGTTCTTCCCTTCTCCTCTGGGTGATAATGTAGAAGGAGATCGGGATGCTCTTGGTTATAAATCATAGACTGGTCTTCCAGTAGATTCATCTGTGGATCAGCACCTTAAAAGTGTTGATTTCTGTCAGCCGTTAAGACAGTAGCTTTCTGAACAGCTTTAAGGAACAGCTTGGTTCTTCAAAGAATGTTCTGCTTCTCTCGAGCATGAGATTGGTCTGAGAACTGGGAGGAAAAGTTCTTTTATTCCTTGGGAAGAGGAAGAAGAATCTTGTACTTCTCAGAACTAACATGTATTGTGATTTAACTGGCTTCACTGCTGAAGGTTTTGAATCCTTGTTTCAAAAATAGTATTAATTTGAAGTCTGATTATGACCAGCTGGTTCACCACATGGCACATTTCTTTGAAGATCTGTCAGCTTGAGTAACTTTCTGTTTCTCATCTGCTTTAACTTATCTAATTTATGTTAAATATATAGAACACATTTGCAATTATTCATTTTTAGTATTGTGAAAATGCTCGAAGTAAAAAATTCTGTTGAAAATGCTCCGATGTTATCTCCTTCTATCCTAACCCTCTAATGTGGTTAGGAATCATATCTTTTTTTTTTTTTTTTTTAATGTCCTGTCAGAAACTTTGAGTAGTGCTGTCTATAAAATATAGTCTGTTTAAAAAATGAAACTAAAATCGTAGATATTATAGTCAGCATTATTTTGATGGTCCTTTACCATTCCTTCTGAGGGCTGTTTAAGAAAGCTTTCTTCTGTCCTTTAGTTTAATGTTCATCAAATTTGTGATGTACAAAACATTCTTACAAATCTCTGTTCAGAATTATTCATTGCATGTGCATGCAGTGGTTCAGGTTTAGTTCAGTGTTCTTTTGGTATTGGTTACCCGTGAAAGATGAATATGTTGCTTTTGTTGCATTCTTTCTTACCTTGTGCATTTATTCTTAATTTCAAGATGATACGATCATATTTGTTGATTTTATTTTTAAATTGTCTAAAATAACATCTAAATTATCAGAATCAGATGATTTTGCTCTTAATTAGTATGTGCTAAACCTTTACAGTCTAAGCAATTGCAAAAAGCAATCTGTTCACAGGCAGCTGCACAGTAACAAAAGCTAGGATTTGTTGAATATGTTGATTTATTTTAGAGCACTGTAACACATCCTGTGTGTGTAGGAACAGAAATAGATATCCAGATCTTGAGTGCAATGCATCTTTTGATGCTTTGTCAACGTTCTCAAAAGCAACTGGAAAAACAGCTCGCTTATTTAGATCAGTGTGTATCAGTTTGTGAGCTGTACTTAATTACTAAGCAGGTACAAAGACTTTCCCTTCTTAGCAGCTTCTCTGGTTGACGAGGCATGAAGAAGCACTGCCTGATTGCCCTGGGGTGTGGTTTACTTCATTTGGAGTGTAGCGATTTAGATTAAGCCTCTCCATGGCTGTGTGAACAAGTGGTTGGAAACTTCATTACTCTTCAAGTGTCAAATTGGCGTTTGTTAAATATGATCCTGCAAGGTCTCATAGATCTCTGCAACCTCCTGAGGATCAGAAGCACGGAGAGAGGTGCTGGGCACTTCTCCCTGCTGTCTAGTGACAGGATGCATGGGAATGGCACAGCTGCCAAATGGGAGGTTCAGGCTGGGCATCAGGAAGAATGTCTTTACTGTGAGGGAGGTCAGATGCTGCAACAGGCTTCCAAGCAAGGTGGCTGATGCCCCATGCCTGACAGTTCTCAAGATGTGTTTGGATTAATGCCCTAACAATATGCTTTAGCTTTTGGTTAGGCCTGAGGTGCTCAGGCAGTTGAACCAGATGATCTTTGTAAGTCCCTTTCCAATTGAACTATTCTATTTCTATTCTATTCTATTTCTGCATGACCCAGGAGGGAAGTTGGAAGGATCTAGTTCTTTTTTTTCAGTCTGGCAAAGAAGATATTTTGGGAAAGCATGGATTAGCAGTGTTCCATTAAGCAGGAAGGTTGCTGCATACAAATCAGAAACAAGATGTTTTAGGCAAGACAAGAAG